TTTAATATTATTTTTTTAGTACTAATTTCTTGTTAGCTCTCAATGTTTATTTTTTTATTTATAAAACTCAAATTCAAAATTATTATTTAAGAGAAATCGATCTTTTTTATTATTAATTGTAAAAAATTCAAACTAGAACTCATTTAATAAATTATATGCCACCATCCAAAACAAGGAATTATAAGACGTAACAAACCAGTAGAGCTACAAAGGAGGAGTACGTGAAATTAGAAACTAAATTAGGGCAAACTTTGAGTTTTAAGCCTTTTAGAAATATTAATTAGAAGTAAAAATATGTTAATTATTATAGTATCCTTCGAACGTCAGGGGACACATTGAACGTCACGGAAGACTTAGTTACATAGACATTCACGTCCCCAAAAATCAGACATTCTAGTCATTGAGTGCTTAATTTGGCACGTTATCACATCTTCAGTTCTGCTCGACATTCTGAATTTTTATCACTTTTTCCCTGCAATTTTAGGTAATAATTAAACAAACAACTTATACATTGCTCTCTTAATGAAAATAAAATTATACAATGCTTAGTACAGTTGGAGGATTTTTTGTTACCTTAAATTTTGGGTCTGAAAAAATTTTAATCATCTCTGCCCAAGTAGTTTCAGTTAGTCCCTCAGGAATATTGCGCATGCGCTCTTCATCTGTTGAGTATTTCTCATACTCCTTGTGGAGATTGTGCTTCCACTTCCTATACAATTCTCCCATCCTTTCAAAACAGTGTTTGTAAAACTTCACTAATTTATCCTCATACGTATCATGGTTACTTGAACAATTTTCTTCTTTTTTTCTTCCATTTCAGAGGGCTCTCATAACTAACATCAAAATAGTCCTACACATCAAACAGAGAATCAGTTTAAAAGGCCTAATCAAAATTTCCAGGAAATGTGCCACACACCAAGAAAAAAGTGAAGTCTTAAAATGCTACAAAAGTGTGAAAAGTTCACCGTAATCATCTTCATTATTTGTTCACCATGTTTTTACTCAGCTACTTCTCATGAATACATAGGAGCAATCACTGTGGATCTGACACAGCTACCTATCCAAGATGATAACTGCACTGCATTCTCATCAACAGGACGGTAGTAATCACCTGGAGGTATACATACCATCAATTTCCGTTTATTGCCATTGGTCATCTTATCCAAAACAACTCCTTTATATACTCCTCTAACTCCACTTCAACGCCTATTATATGCTACAGAGAGATGAAACTGCTTGTGAGATACGCATGAGTTATGCACACAATGGACAAAGTGAATAATGCCAACACAAGTGTACATACCAGGTACATTATCATCGGAGGGAGTTTGGATTGATGCTGAAGATTCATGATTTGCAAGACCAACAGAAGTGCCTTCAATATTTTCTGTTGGAGTTTGGATTGATGCGGGAGATTATTGATTTGTAAGACCAGCAGGAGTGTCTTTAATATTTGAGCTAAAACCTGCAACAAGTGTTTAATCACTCAGCTAAAAACAAGATAAAAATAAAACTATAACAGCCAGTCATAAAAATTTAACAAAGAAACATGATTTAGTAAGCCCATCAAACTATGATAATCCATTAAAGAATATAATTATGAAATAGATAAAAGAATGATAGGCAGAGACAATCAAATCTCAAATTCTTGTAATTCAGCATTAAGAAAAATTTATATGATCAACAAAATAACAGAAACATTTGACTTGTGGATCAAATCAAAATAGTAAAGCAACAAATAGTACCTCCAGCAAAAATATGCTCAGCAGAAAAATAACTTCTCGGTGTTGTACCAGGACAATCAATGTTTCTTGATAACTTACTCTGTTTTATCATTTTCAAGACAACTTGTAGAGCTGAAATTCAAATGTGCATGTCAAATATTTTTGCATAAGGAGAGATAGTAAAAGATGATTAAAAACTGTGGCTACTAACTATTTTTCAAAAAGTGACAAGATAAAATCAACACACAAATCCACAAGTCTAGGGAGACTAAAGACTTTTTATATAAACCTGGTGGTTCTTTCATATGATGCAGACAGAATAAATCAAAAAGATATTTCTGGTTGGCTGATGAGCTTTTCATTATCATTTCCCTCTAAATATGTTGTCGTGCAAGAATCTGGATTGTATGTTTAATATTAACATAATTTAAAATGTAAAAAGTACCTGGTAATCCAATGTTTCTATCAGTTGACCTATTCCATTTTCTCATAGATGAGGTAACTTGTTCAACTGAAATGTAAATAGTCACATGTCAAAGAAGGTAAATATGCCTAGTAAACAACGTGAGCTTAAGAGGTGTCTAATGCAGTACAATGCTGATGTTGTTTATCTTCTAGAAACGCACTTTCAGCAGTAGAAATTTCTGGAAATATCTAATTTCCTTTTACCTAGCTAGCAAGTGCATGGTAACTATGAGCATGCTACTTTGGGTGGAATACCGCTGTTTAACAGACCCCAGATCAATATCACAATCTCCAGTATGTCTTTCTAGGCCATCCATTGCCATGTTTTTGATACTTGTACAAAATAGTACCTATTTCTAAGTGTTGCTCATGCTGATCCTTATACGTAAAAAAAGTGTGAGCTGTGGAAGGAATTAGTTCTAATTAGTCATGCTCTTCCAAAGGTGCCTTGGCTAGTAGGGGGAGATGTTAATGACCCAGACTGCTAAATGAAAGATCAGACTGGCAAGCCTTACCTTTTATTTCAAAGGGCACAGAATTTTTTCAAAATAAGATGAATGAGACTGAACTGCATGATCTACCTTCTGTTGGATCTTATTTCACATGGTCAAACAAGAAAATATCCAAGAAGCTGGACAGATTAATGGTACAGAATACCCTCTTAGCACATGAAATTGTGAAACACTACCACAAACAAAACCTTAGTCCTAGATTTGCTTTTGAGATTGATCTAATGAAGGCTTTTGATTCCATAGACTGGGATTTTATTTCCCTAATACTAATAGCTATTGGCTTCCCTTGTCAGTTCATTCAATGGATGTCAGCATGCATAACTACACCAAGGTTTTCAGTGGCTTTCAATGGAAATCTAGTGGGATGTTTTTTTGGTAAAAAAAAGGCACTACACAAGGTGATCCATTGTCACCTTATATTTGTTAAGGCTTAATTTTGGAAGCATAAGTCTTCAAAAGGAATTTAATTGTTAAATTATGATCGTATCATCATTAGGCAAATGCATGATTGTCCTTGTTTGATGTTGTGAATTGGGTCTAAATATTCAGATTAACATAAACATGAAGTTATGATTAGCATGATATTCATGTCTCACCTTGGTTATCTTTGTAATTCAACAGTACAGTTATTTCATCCATGATTTGTTTCATCCCTACATTTTCCTCAACCTACAAATAGCCCTACGAGAATAACTTCGTGAATCCAACAGTAACATAAGTGTTGTGACTACCTTAATGTGGATAGGCAATGTCATTTAAGATAAAATAACTAATAAAAAGGAATTACTACCTCTTTCAATTGTCAATATCAAATCCTTGTCCTTGCTATTGGGATGTGTTGGATTGAGAACCTGCAGCAGTCATCTTTTCTGTTACTCTAATCCCATGGCCTAACTGCCTTCTCAGAGCAGAAGGCATAAGGAACTTCCCCCTCCTAGTCATATCTATCACCAGGAAAAAGTAAAATTTAATAATTATTAGCACATGACAAGAACTAAAACACCTCGAGATAATTATTAAAATAATTCATCGTGTAACTTATCATCCATCCATCTTGGATAACTAATTTACAATCATAGAACAAAACCATAGGACCATGAAGGAAGCTAAGTAGAATAAAAAAAATCACAGAAATCCAAGTGGGGAACAAAAGAAAAGAATAAGTTGTGCTCCATTAATGGATAATTTATAATCAAGGATAGCAGATTATTCTCATTATACATAGAGTTCATGCTAATTGATAATTGATCACAAAGGGTAAAAAAACAATACCCATCTTAGCTATATTGTTCTCAATCCTTTGTCCTATTGGTGCAGATGAAATCAATTGAGAACCTGCTGTAAAACAAAAACCAAACTAATAAAACCCATCCCTTTCAGGTATCCTTCACACATACATTTTCATCTTTCCCTCTCTACTTCCACTTTTTCTTTTTTTTCCTTTTCATATCAACCTTCTACTAATTATAGTTGTCAAGATTGCAGTGATATCAAAAGAAGTTTTTGCCTTTCCTCATTCTCATATGAAAAAGTAGAAGTTCCAGTCAAGGAAATGTGATACAATGTTACCTTCCCTTTGTAACAAGAAATCCAACCAACGATATTCAGATTTGGATGAGGAACTCTTGAGGAAGAAAGAATCTTTCATAGAGAGTAAAAAAAACCCCTTTCATATGTATTGTCATGAATGTCATGTGGAGTAATCTGTTGTGTTGACTTACTCCCATCGCCAGGTGGCTTCCTCAATGCAGGAGGCACAATTCTTACTTTCCCCCTCTTAGAGAACTCAAATCTGTAACGGCATAAAATTACAAATCTAGCACATGGCAACATGTAAAATAAGGCTATGCGAAAGTATTAAACATACGTAACATTTAATCACTACGACATATAGGACTCTCCCTCCTCTCCTCTCCCACCATCCTGAATGAGGGAGCTTTAGAAACACAATATGCATATTTATTTCGTAATATAATGATAGAAAGGGGGATTAATTTAGAGATTATGAAGCATAAACAAAGCTCTTGAGTTGGTTAGGAGATTAAGAAAAACCAGATCTTATCGCAAAATCTTGAGAGACCTGATTAGAAATTGAGAATAGAAAGCCCAAACACATTCAACCCTCGTTGCGACGTGCGTCTTTTATTTTACATAGCCGCGTCTTGCTTATTCTTGGTCGTAATTAGTTGAGTAAATTTGCAGGAGTCTTCTAAACTTTATCTTGATCTAACTCACCTAAAATTATAGAAATTATGGTAATAAAATTAAAACCCACACAATAATAATTTTTTAAAAAACTAAAATTGATTGATTTTAGTAAGTCCTCAAACCTTATCTTGTCTTTCATC